TCCCCTCCCCCAAAGGCACCCCGGTGCACACACCCAAGGACAGCCCTGCTGGCACCCCCAGCCCGACGCCACCGCCCAGCCCGTCCATTGGCGGCATGCCGTGGAGGACGCGCCTCAACTCCATCAAGAACAGCTTCCTGGGCTCACCGCGGTTCCACCGTAGGAAAATGCAAGGTAGGGGGGAGGACAGGGGAGGCAGGGTGGGTGGGGGATTTTGTTGATGATATCTTCAGATCAGATTTTAGTGATCTGAATCTTCTCTGTGTAAAAATCGAGCCAGTGCTTATGCATCACACTGCCATTCAGTGGAGGAAGTCTAACTCATCACAAACAAGACGGTGATCACATTACAGCAAAATGGATTGTTTCTGCTGTTTCTTTCGTTTTGGTTTTCCCATTTTGATGCTGATAGTGCCATGAAATCACTTCAGACAAACTGAACACAGCACATAATGAGGCATTTACACTGCCAGGTTCTGAAATAGCACTCAGCAGAAAAACCAAGACAAACAGAAGCATCTTTCTGTCAACAGTGTCCAGAAATGACACCTGAAGACAGCAGGAAGTCCACAGTGATGTAGCAAACAACTGACATTCCACCTGCCTACCTCTGTGACCTTTGATCTGTGTTTGCATCCACAGTTCCCACCCAGGAGGACATGTCCAGTCTCACCCCAGACTCTTCTCCAGAGTGAGTAACGCAGCAGTGTGCCTCACCAGAGTCAGGGCATGAAAACCTCACATTAGCATAAACAGAACAGAGAGCAGTGTTTATTAAAACAAGGATTTTAGGATTTTCATTATTTTGTAATAATCCATAAAGAAACGTTTTTAAATGTAAACTTAAATTTTTAGCATGTGTCACTGTAGCATGCAAACAAGCTTTTCACCTGTGATGGGATGTTTTTTTAGGTTAGTGAGTTAAACAGCAAAGTTAGCAGGTGAGGATTTCAGCTCCAGCTCGTAAAGCTCTGTGCAGTGCTCATGACACAGTACACTGATTTGGCTAGCAGAGACAATCCAGTGTATTTTCACCAGCAGAGAGCCTGCTGTTTTTTTAATATCGTTTGCATTGGAACAACTTTAATCATTCTTTTCCTTTTTTTCACCATTTTGCTGCTGGAATTAGAGTAGCACTGTAAAGGTTTCTCTACAGCTGCTACCTGTAAACTTCATCTTTCATGATGATGATCTGGCAGTTTGGGGCCAAACAAATCTACTTCGGTTGACACCAGTGTGTAGCTGATGTTCTGGGTCTAATCTCAGCTGCTCTCCTCCATCAGACTGGCTAAGAAGTCGTGGTTCGGTAACTTCATCAACCTGGAGAAGGAGGAGCAGATCTTCATCGTGATCAGAGACAAACCCCTCAGCTCCATCAAGGCTGACATCGTCCACGCCTTCCTCTCTGTGAGTTTGTCCTTCTTTCTGCCTCTCTGTCCTTCAGATGTGACGTGTTCTCCTCGTAGCTGTTACTGCTTGATGTACTGGGTATTTCCTGGTCACTCTGCCTCCTGTTCTGTCCTCAACACACTTTTCAAGCCTTGCGGTTTAACATTGTCACAGCGTTTTCAGACCAAGGCTGACTTTGTCTCCAGAGTACAAACACAAGAGCAGTTTAAGCGCAAGTACAGTGAAGGAAGAAAAATCCAAGACCTTATGAATAGCCACCGAGATCCACTTAAGGCCGTGTATATTTGCAGGTACATTCCCTAGTTAAAAAAAAAAAAAACAGTACACTAGACTAGAGGAGCCAGAAGGTCAGAAACCAGAGGTGAGAACCACTCGACCTCACAGCGTCATCTCACTTGTGCTGCTGTTGAGCTGTGCTGCATTATGCAGAGGTGTTAGTGCCAAAATACCAGAAACAGCAGCACATGCTGCAGCCTCTGCAGTGACCACATAGGTAAATCACCTGTCGACCTGTTGTTGACGCTGCATCATGTCATGTTCAGGTCAAACACATCCAGTGCATGTCTCTCTCTCTCTCTCTAACATCACTGATGTCCGTGTTCTCCCCCCCTTCCCCCATCCTCTTCCCTCTCAGATCCCCAGCCTGAGCCACAGTGTCATCTCTCAGACCAGCTTCCGGGCGGAATACAAGTCCACAGCCGGTCCGACAGTGTTCCAGAAGCCAGTGAAGTTCCAGGTGGACATCACATACACCGAGAGCACGAGCGCCACCAAGGAGAACGGCATCTACTCTGTCACCTTCACCCTGCTCTCAGGTGACCATGTGTGATCACACACCAGGAAGTGTTGAGCTTAACGTATAACTGATGCTGAAATGATCAGTCGATTAACTGGTGGGCAGAAAATTAGTTGACAGCAATTTTGAAACATTTTTATTAAGGAAAGAAACCAAACGATTCCAGTTTCCAGCTTCTTAGCAGTGAGGATTTGCTTTTTTTTTCTGGAATGAATCATTTGGAGGTTTGGACAAAACACAGCTCTGAGTTAACTTTAGTTACATTTTCAATGCAGGACTTACTTGTAATTAAGTATTTTTCAGTATGGTATTAGTACTTAAATCCTCCACTGCTCACAGGAAAGTTCTTTTCTGCAGAATAAGAAAATTTACATTTATACTTGAACCACATTGTGCTGACATTACTTTTGTACTTAAGGATTTTTAATACAGGACTTGCTTGTAACTGAGTATTTTTACATTGTAGTAAGAGTACTGAGTACTTCTTCCACCACTGCTAGTACACTGTATGTACTGTATTCTAATGAAGCTCCGTTGTCTCTTCACCAGGTCCCAGCCGACGTTTCAAGCGTGTGGTGGAGACCATCCAGGCTCAGCTGCTCAGCTCCAACGACCAGCCCGGCATCCAGCCCCAGATCTCTGGTAAGTGAAGTCCCCAACCATGCCTAGACCCCCAACCCTCCTCTTCCTCGACGCCCTCACAGCCTCTCCCCCCTCTCCCCCCTCTCTCCTGGCATCCTGGCTCTCCTCACAGCACAGCCACGCCCACGGCCCACCTCGGCTCAGCTCGGCTCGGCACGCTGCTTTTAGCACACGGCATCTCCACGTGCATGTCCCTGCCGCATACCATGGCGTGCGCGCACACACACACACACACACACACATACACCCAGAGTACATGGTAACATTTTTAGGTGAGCTCTAGATGTGCACTGATTATCAGGAGCTGTACATCAAACAGTAATGTGCCCTGTGCAGACAGCAGCTCGGTCCTCAGCCGGCACCTGACTCAGCAGAAAACACACAGGCCAACAATTGGACAGCTGTGTGCATGAGCTGGTACATTGATGCAGGCCGTACCTTCTCTAAGAGAGGGAGGAAAGACTTCAGAATATAGTTAGCATGTAGAGTCACATTAGATGTGTAAACCCAGGTCACAAACCAAAAACAATCCCAGAAACTCTGTGAAGTCTTTTATGTGCCTGGACATGTGGGGCTGCCTGTAGATATAGACGGACGGATTGAAAACCTGGGGAAGAAAAGAAGAGTGACTGTGTGTTCTCCAGTTGTCCTCCTCAGTTCTGTTTGTTAGTGTGACACTGTTGTCCTATCTGTGGTTATTTACTTGATAATGGTCCCCTCTGGTGGTGGAGCAGAGTAACTGCACCCTACCCACACACACACACACACACACTATAGGATATGTTACTGGGAGAAAACCAGTCACCTGCTCAGCTCCCACTCCAGCACACTAGATCTAAAGCATGCAGACTTACAGTTTGATGGTTTCAACACTGGCAGCAGTGACAGAGAGTACCGTAGAGATGACCTTTTTTTGTAGGCCAACCCAGACGTTCAGGTTTTAGGACTCACTACTACGGCACTCTGTTAACCTTTAAGCGAGACTACAGGCCCTGATCTCTGATCTTCCAACAAACAGTGGATCCAAAACATGAACAGCAGCAAAGGAACTGCAAAAATCTTTTTTTCAGTCAAACCCTAAAGTCTTATTTTCTTTAGGAAATAAACAACCTGCCAGTGCAGTGAGATCTTCTGAACTTGCAGTAGGAATTTCACAGCCTCCCTGACAGCACTGTGGCCAGTAAACGGCTGATTATGGATTTTTCAAGCTGGTCTCAAAACAACTGATGTGCCCATATGCATGTGATAATAGGTCTGTCACTGTCACCACACCGGCCCTGAAGGCAACTACACTACAAAATCCACAGCCCTTGTTCTGTGTAAAAAACTCATTCCAAAGTTCATCTGTGGTGCAAATGAAGCTTGAGTTGTCGCACTAAGCTATTTATCCATGGTGTTAGAAATGAGCGATGGGCAAAACTGTTCCACAGATTTCACCTGAGAGATCCTGACCCAGGGACACACACAGCTGTAGCTATTAGTGGTCAGACTGGACATAAATACAGAGCCCATTTCCACAGTAGGAGAGTTGCTAACAACGAATTGAGTTAAACACCCAGGGGTAAATGCAAATAAACATGCGGCGTGTTATTTACCAGTCAGCCAGTCTAAGTTACCTATGTGTAAGTAGTGTTCCTAAAAAGGCTGCAGTGATGACAGTCAGCAGTTCACCTACGGTGCAACAGTGACACCAAACAAATGTTAGTGTGTTCCTGCATATCACATAAAGATAACCAACTCATGCATATGAGGACATCAAGATTAAACGCCGCCGTGAAATATCCTGAAATTGTCCTTTAACCCTAACTCTAGCCACAAAGGGCAACGCAGTACAGAAACACTTTTTGAGAAGTAGAAGATCACTGTTCACTGTGTAGTTGAGCAGAGACGATGAGCTGCTGTTCAGGTTTGTGAACCACTGACCAGCTGGAAGATCTCAGGACTCTGAGCTTCAGCTTAATGCTGACTGTTACCAAACACAGTGAACCAGTAGCACCATTCTGCCACAGATGGGAACTGTTATCAGGCACTGTATGCACACCCTCAGTCACCGCCACCATGTAGATGTGCCAATAACCCACATCTCTGTTTCTCTCTCTACCCATCGACCTTATTGCTGCTTCTCCATGCCACCCTGCTTCCTGTCATCTGCAGCTTCGGTCTAACGCCACCTGGACAGACCGAATGACTCGCATGCTCACCTCAGAACCATACACATGCACTGTTTGACAGTCTGACCTCTGAACAGCAGCAGGGTCAGACACAAACTGTTTGCTGACGGTCCTTGATGAGCTGCCATTCACACACGGCTGTACTGAACTGAAATGTCACAGTGAGAAACACTAGCATGGTGTGTGCTGATCTCTTTGCAGTCGGCCTCAAAACCAGAGAATCTGCATGTTTGATAAAACCAAACAGCTCCACAGATCTATGAACCTACTGACCTGTGTGTGTGTGTCTGTGCGCATGGTGGTACTGTACATGTACAGATGGTAGCAGATGTTATTTAAAGAATAAGGTCCATCCTTTTCTATATTAACTATTGTCAGCACTGAACTGCGTCGACCTGGATGAGCTCATTCGTCTGTGCCACAGCTCTCGACTGTTGTTCAACATCAATGAATAGCAGTGAAACTCACCGCCGCACTGGGTGACGCCTTTGTTCATTACAAAGCACCAGACTTGTATATTTATCAAATAGCTAATTGCACTTTCACAGAGATCTCGTGCACACAGAGCTGTCTTGCTGCTTCAGACGCTGTAAAAGGTTCTGGTCATTTCAAGCTTTTGCGGCAACATTTTAAGAAACATGCAGGTATTTCGTAATGAAGAAACATGTCACCCAGTGCAACGGTGTGTTTCACCGCTGTGTCTGTAATCGTTTTTAGCAACAGTGGCGGTCTAACGCACAGATGATAGAAGCTCATCCAGGACCGACAGACGTTACCTGTGGGTAGAGGCAGTTCACTGTAGTCTCTGTATGGGGAATGTTGAAAACACTGGTGATGTAGAGAACGACCAACCTTTTCCTTTAAAGAAAAGGTTGCAGCGAATGTTCAGCTTGTTTCCCTGATCCTGCCATAGGCTGACACTGGCTCCAGGCTGGCCCACTTTCTGCTGTCTGGATTCCCAGACCAGTCCTCTGTTTTGAAGCCTAGCTCAGTGCAAGTTTAACAAGGCCAGGTGAACACTGACCAGAAGAGCCTGAACTTGAAGGCCGGTGCAGGCCTTCCTTACATTGTTCTAGAAGATTTATAGCTGCTGAGCCTATTGAGCTCCAGATAAAAATCTGATCAGAAAGTAAACCTGGGACTCTACTGTATTTAACAATCACATTTCTCTACAGAAGAGACACCACTCTGATGAACTACTGTTGTGTCCCTTCACACTGTCTTTGTCTGAGTCCAGTCAGCTGCTGGAGTGAGCACATTTACCACCTGCCTGAAGCATCAGTGCAGCTGTTACACAGTTAACATTAAATAGCAGCTGGCATCGCCTACTGTCACTGATTTTAACTGGAGAAAGCAACAAGAAAGCTGTGACAGAGATGCTACTAATGTTACCTCTGAATTTTCAACATTAGTCTTTGCTAATAAAAACAGGTCCTGTAAGAGATTGACTGGTGTCAGGGCTTATTGAATCGGAGTATGTCACCAACCAGAAACTGGATCCAGAATGGACCGGCTTTGAACCCAGTCCTAAATGTGCACCAGGTAGCAGCTTACAGCTGTAGCTAATAGATGAATTTGTTGAAAGGCCAAAATAGCCAATGGCTGTGCTCTCTGTAAGCTAGTGTCCTTCCTCAGCCAAAGATCATTTGTGAAAGATATAGATGCAGTGTTTTTGTAGCCAACAGTCTCTTCTCTGGTGAAACGACCAATGGATCATGCCACATTTCACCCATGTTTCTTGCATGTACCATAGAGGTATCATTGAGACCTTGTAATAGATCCAAAACTCTGTACGAACACCTAATGCTATGATGGAACAAGGACATCCCTGCAAAAACAATGTAGCACAAGCATTCTGAGAATTTAAACATGGCTCTTAGTACGCTAACATGGCTAGCTCAGCCGCTTTCACCAAAACACTTCATTCCACCTTAACAGAACATCTGGCCCATAACAACTGGATAAAACTTCTTGTATAGTATAACTTACTTCTGTAAACACAGAGGTGGTTCTAGTGTTCAGAGGCACTTGGTCGTCCATCAGGAGGCCAGGTTGGTGCATTTTCTTCTCTGGCCTGTAGACACAAACCACATCTCTCTAGCTACCCTTCACCACAAAAACAGCAACATGTCAAAAGAGAGAAAGGAACCTGTGAAAAATGAGCTGAACATTCAGGTGTTTGGAGTTCTCCTTTAAACTCAGAAGAAGTGCAGTGTTTTAGCCAGTGTGCTGCTGAACTGTACTGCCTGTGAATGAAGCGCTGGGCCTCAGCGAGTGGCTCGGGGTTTCTGACACTGTCTTCTGCTCTCAGATGGCTCTCAGCGCTCACCTTTGCCCAGTAAATCCTCCAAGTGTGGTAAGACCCAGAGCCACCGGGAGCTCCCGGCAAAAACACCTCAACTCTGGCTTTTAACACTCACTGGCAACGTCCTGGAGACCATCATAACACAGCTTGTTTGCACTAACGTATGTGTGTGTGTGTGTGTGTGTGTGTGTGTGTGTGTGTGTGTGTGTGTGTGAGAGAGAGAGAGAGAGAGAGCTGAAGAAAATCTGTTCATCTTAACAAGTCATTAAAATGTTAAAAATCTTCTGCTCTGTTTGGAAATATCCTGCACTTGTTCCTGTTCATTTTACACAAAATCAACTCCTAGAAAACTGAGCAAAAACAGCATCATCCAGGAAACGTGTGCTTAGTAAATTTCACCGTAGTCCGGAGAATAAATGCTCTTTTTCACCTGCCTTACTAACACTTTACATTTATTAAAAGAATATTCTGAACAGATTTCACCATCATCGAGCCAATAGTTGTAGAGAGAATGGTGCTTCTGTGGAGATTAGAGATGAAAATGAGAAATGTCACGATTTCCTGCTGTTTTCTATCACAGTAAACCAAAGCATTGATGATAGGTCTGCTTATTATTTTCTCAGTTACTCCAGTATCACTTAGTGAAAACATTAGAAAACTGTAGATACTGCAACTGCTTGAATTTATTAGTTATTTTTACTACAAGAGCAAAATAAGCTGGAATGACTTAAAGTGGAACAACTATAAAGTAATTATCTAAATAGTTACAAGGAGATTAGTAGTAGACACACATTTGATGGTTGCTTATGAAGTAATACTATGTAGTAATAGACCTATGAAGTAATATATTAAGTGCTACTGCTAATCGATAAGATTAATTATGGCCAAAACACAGTCCAGTGTTTTTGATGTAGTTCTTTTGTTGGTGATTATTTTTAAAGCTGAACTATAAAAACTAATGACTTCATAAGATTGATCTAGTTCATTGTGATTGTGTGTGTGTGTGTGTGTGTGTGTGTCTCTCTCCACTGACCTCAGTAACCCTTTGCATGGTGATGCTTGACCTTGGGTTGTCTCTCCCCCCCCCTGTAAAACTTTACATATTTGAAATCACTGCAACAAAAGATCAGACAGAGGAGCGATGGTAAGTTAACAGTGAGCCTCCACAGTTCTACTGTTCGTCTGCAGCACAACAAGATGACGATCACTTAAGGGAAATGCTGTTTGCCTAACCTAACTGACCTGTGACTGTGTATTAATGTGTGTACTGTGTTGTATCGTTGCATGTTTTATTCACCCACTCACCAGTTTAAAGCGCTTACCAAACAGAGAAGCTTTGTTTTAACGGGTGGAGTTTGCTATGACGGAAAGTTAACAGCAGCACTGGAAAATAATTCATACAGAGAAAACGTCCCGGGGCAGACGGCACCAGCTCTGAAACACAGTGACCAGATGAAGTACAGCTGGTAAAAGGGAAACAAAGTAATGACAGTAGCAACAGAAACAACCTAGATGTACCAAAATGTGAGAAAATGTACACAGACACATAAGTTCCTGAGTAAAATGAAATGCTCACATACTAATGGTGGTGAATCACTAGGAACTATTTTAATACTGTACAATGCTGGGAAGTGTGTGTGTCAGTGATAATTCTAGTTCATATGATGGTTTTCCATCATTCTTTTTTACTTTCGTGGAACAGCTGCTGCATTGTGTTCTACGTAGTATTTAAAGTCATCAGTTTAACTCAGCAGGTAAAACATCCACAACATTTCTCAGTCAAAAGCAGGTTTGAAACAAACAAAGTGAATGTCAGTTCCATCACCTTCCTGCCCAGTGCTGGTTGTCACATGACTTTCTGCTAACATGCAAGAGAGCAGACATAAGTGCGATTGGCTGTATGAGGTCAGAGTGCCTCCTGAGTGTCCGGTGCATCTCTGCTCCTGGATGATACGTGCCTTCCAGTGCTGCCCTTGGCTCTCCGCCCAGCAGGGGAACTTGAGACTCTGAAGCCCACACTGATGCACTGTGACCTGAGCTGCTTCCCAAGTCAGTTGTCTTAGTCCCACCCACGTAAGATGTGAGGAGAGAGGACTCAAGGCGACACATTATTAACAACATGACACACCCTGATTCTGATAAAGGGACATGCCAGTTCATGAAAACCTCTGCAGAGGATGCTCTCACGTGTCCTCGCTCGTGCCTCCTTGATCCTCAGAGCAGATACAAGTCCTCAGGCCTTGCTCAACGTGGAAGCCGTTCTGTTGAGCGAGGCCTGAGGACAAATCATTTAAGAGCCTTGAATAGCAGCCCTGATCTTGCCCTTCTTTCCTAAATCTGGCCTGACTTGACCCATGACCTCTTTGTCCACAACCTGGCTGAGGAGTCTCCTATTCTCCAGCTCCACCCGTCCTCTCATCCCTCCATCGCCTGCTCCTCCTCTGCTCACGGTAACTCCATTACTCATCTGTTGTTTGTTCTCTCTCTCTGTTTCTTCTTTTCTTCCCATCTGTGTAGGCAGCCCATATTAATTTGAGTTCAGTTTGACACTTTCAAAGGTTCACCGTGAGTCGCTCTGTAAACCCCCCCCCCCCCCCCCCCCCTCGCCCCCCCGCCAAGCGTGCCCCCAGCAGCAAGCCAAGCCAGCCCCCGCCCAATGACTCTAAATGCCCCCCCAGCAAAGAAAAAACAAAGATGGCCGCCAGCAGCAGGACACAGGAACAACCTTAAGGAGCGGTAGCTGTGCATGACTAGATGAAGAGCAGTAATCAGGTCATTAACGAGAGAAGGACAGAGGGGAGCTGCTAACTTTGCTCTTTAGTTTGCAGCGAAAGCAAAACAGAAATCTACTTTTTGCCTATAAATTTTGTACTGTACGATGGGAATGGCTATTTCAGTTTAAAAATTCATCAGTATTTTACAACAAGTAGCAAATGTAGCTTTGTCGTCTCTACCTTGTGTCCCGGGGGTCTGTTGGTGGGTGTGTGTCCTCTCATGTGTGATGGCTTGACCTGTCTCTGCCACCAGGGATCATCCATAATATCACTTCACCCCGCCCTGCTGAGTCCTTTCTCCGGCCGCATCAGTGGAGACCCCGGCGCTCCCGGCAGACCAGACAGACATCTCAGACAAGTCGTAAAAAGAAAAAAGCCTTAAGACAGCGCTGTTTGTCGGTCTACACACACATCCCCGCTCCTGGTTTCACTTTCGTCCGTTTCCCCCACATGTACATAAAAACACATACATGCTGTATGTACTCCTCAGCACAAACGTCTGTGCGGGATGTAATGACTTGCACACACTGACAAACAGGAGCGCTGGATGGAAGCGGAGATGGACGGACCAGATGAACGCCGGCCTGATTGTAATTCTTTTTAACAATGTTTTTCTTTGTGAACAGATCTCTGAGAGTCTTTGGTGGGGGCTCTTAAAGGTCGCCCATAACAGTATGATGTGGGGGGAAACTACATAAATGAATGATCTGTTCTGTTGTACAGACTAAGTAATGTTCCGTATGTAAAGAAAGTGTAGTTGTGACCTTATGTTTTAGAGTTGTGTTGCCATGTTTTATTTCCTGTACAGGCCTGGTCACACCAGCATTTAAAACATGCATCATTTCACTAGATTCATCCGTAGACGTGACGCAAACCCTCAGTTTTTTTGTGACAACTTCAACTTTGTTGAACTCTGAGGTAGGAAATTTCTCCGTTGACCAACGACAAGTTGTGTTTACGGTGCTGATCTTAGAGGGAACGGATCATAGTTGAAGTTTTATTTAAGCTCCTCTGTCAAAGTATAAAACTGCTCCACAAAAGACACATGGTTTGTATACAGTTATGAAACAGGAACTACAAATGCCATTAGAGTAGAGAGTAGCTGCCAGATTCTTAGTTGCAGCCTTAGCGTAAACTTGTCCTGTCCAAGAAATCAAATGTTTTAAGTCCAAGTACTTTGTTTCCCCACTTAAACTTGTTTTTCTGCTGTGCAATCCTGACAACAAAATTCAAAGGGGTATTGCACAGAGAGAACAGAGGCTTGAATAGCACCTTCCAGACAGGACAGCATGTTACTGATTAGCTTGGCAGCTACAGCAGTTTGCTACCCAGTCCTGCATGTCCTCACCAAACTTCTAGGGCCATGCATTTTACTAAACCATGACCTGGTGTGACCAGGCCTTGTTGAGGTTTCCTTTTCCATTTGCACTTCTGACCTGTGAAACAGTTGCGTTCAGTTACACCACGTCAACGCATTTTACTTCACTTTTGTTGTTGTTCAGGTACTTTTGAATTATCTACAGGATTCAAGCAGTATTGAACTGCTGTGTATATTTTTGTACTTCACTGTACTTTGCCATTTTTTCTTATTATTAATTTATTCTGCTATTTATATGAAAGATTTAGAGAACGTTTCATAATGTCAAATTATTTAAGGATATTTTTGTCATGTTTGTTATTTGATCGCCGAGAAATTCGGAAACGTGCGTGAGCGTTCATTACTTTTCCTGCTTTTTGACAAGAGAGACCTTGTAACATATGTTTGGAAGATGATTTACCCTCATTTAAGAATGTAGACGTAGCCTCTTTGAGGGGAACAAGCCCTCTGTTGGTACTGCCGGCTCCTTCCTCCCCGTGTGGCGACTCAGATCACACCAAACACTCATTCTGTAAATAAGACGAGTTTACCGACAAGGTTATTTAAAAAACCGAGGGGATTCCTACTCTTAGCTTTGACTTCGTACGGTCGTTTGCATGTTCAGCATTCGTCTTTTCTTTGCATGTTGTCGTTGGAATTGTTCTCCTGTTCCTGTTTTCTCTACACGTTTCTTTATGTTCTTTATGTGCATCTGTTTTTAACTTTTTTCATTTTTTAAAGTCTTATTTCCTTTGCCGTCCTTGATTGCTGGGTGCACACAGTAACTGTGCTGCATCCTCTTTACTCATTCTCTCGACGAGGGACCTCGCTGGCGATCGGGTCACTTGTTCACACCAGCTGCGTGGGTGTTGGGATATCAGAGAGAGAAATCAAAGCAATACCTTCCATCGTTCGCTTTTCTCTTTTTCTACTGTGGGAATCCAGAGCACCTAGAATGGAGCGCTACCACTGAGCAGGATAACCACTGGCAATGTATTCCCTTGTGATGTTACTGTGAACAACTTCAGTGCTAAAGGAAATAAATCTGTTGACTTTGGAATTGCTTGTGTGCCAAAGTTGTTTGCTGCACAGTTTAGGTTATGGAGATGTGTCTTCACAGAATATATACAGAATTTACAACCTCGCCACTAGATGTCACTAAATCCCACACAC